CGTTGCATCGGTTCAATTGCCCTCAACGTGTGGTTCTTGAATGTTAGCATTGCTTATTGTTGAGACAAGAATAGGTTAGAAGTTTATGGTACATTTTAATGTATAATTTGCTCGTGGGCGCGTTATGGACTAAATTGGGCGACAACGCCGAGGTGCTTTAGGAGTTTGAAGTCCGACAGATTCAGGTACACCTGATCTTTATAGGATGTTTTGGTTGATGCGCATGTCCCCCAAACAATTTATTCGGTACACAAACGGATTAAATGTTACTTAAATGCTTATTACTTTGCAAAAACATTTAGCAAAAGTCTATGCTAAGCAGGTTCAATTTAAGCTTGTAGTTGCCAAGCGATACGGCCAGGTGTCATACACTGCAGCGCCCATGCATCTCGGTCAGTTAAATGATTCAATCATTTTCTTATGAGCAGAGCTGAGTGCTACCAGGCGCGTCCCGGGTTGTGGATAAAAGGATAGCTTCACAGAAGAAGGTTAGCTGTGAATAAGCTGTGGCATACCGCAACAAACAGTCGCGAACAAACAGCGGCGGCAATACCAGGGTGTGGTGGGTTTCAGGCTGGTCACCTGGCTCCTGTTTACAATCCCCATGACCCCAACGACGGTGTCGTGGCAAAGGTCGATGTGACTGGCCTTTTAAAGCTAAATTCATCGGCCCCCTCACTTCCGAGGTGAGGGATTACTTCCTGCTGACTTGCAGTTCGTACTTGATTGTGCAAAGGCTAGAGGTGTGCCTCAAAATAAAAGAAACGCCGAGTGACGCTGGGGACGTCTCTCGTACCAAACTCCCAAAGAACATGATCATGTCTGGAGCCGGCTTATCCTTTCCAAGGAGCCAACCACAGTTAAGTAAAGTAATTAAAGTTATAACCCCTGGCCCTGATTTGGTTTTATTAGACTATTCTGTAATGGAGATGCAGGAACTGAACGTTAGAAAAGTGATTTGAATATTACTTTTTTGTTACCAATTTCCAGTCACTCAATAGTCATTACGATTGGCTTCCACACTATCTGCTTTCTCTTTTATTCATCACACCCTTTTATTCGTTTTCAATCCCTCGACCACCTCGTATACAGAAGCTTCGGGTTCTGAATACACTGAATGATGTGAAACTCACTCTAAGCGAACTGTCTGAGTCTGGACTCGGGCGAATCGTGAGTCGGTTGAAAAACGAACCCGGTGATCTGGGCACAACAGCTCGCATTTTGGTCACCAAATGGAAAAATTTATTGCAGAACTATTTGAAACGGGAATCCGCTCAACTTTCCGACCAGCCCGGTTCAGTTGGAGAAGGATCGTCTGGATCCCCTGTACACAATCCCACTTCTTTGACAAATGGACACGAACATTCACATACACCTGATCGACAAAACTTAGAAGTATCCCATGTACAGAAGAGCTCTACTCTGGTGAGGCGCTCTACCAAAATTGTCCCCACCCCTCGTCCATCCGACACCAAGAGTCAGTCAAGTTCAGCTTCCGCACCACTTGCATCCACCTCATATTCTTCCGTCCACTCTTCTGTCACTAAGTCGACCGTCCCATCCGCATCCACCTCCTCCTCACTATCATCATCTGCCAATCGCTCAGAAACTACAGATCCCGTACAGTCCGCAAACGAGACTAGCAAATCAAAAAGAAAACGTAAACCCAGTGCTGACACAACCGATTCAATTGATGCCAGTAGTGGACTCTCGTTCATGGAATCCCTTTGTGCCGTTTCCACATCGCAGCCGGTGCGCAAGAAACGTGCTAAATCAAACAAAACATCGAGGGATTCACCATGTCTACCGGTCCCGGGGTCTGTACCAACACCACCTCGCCCATCCGCCTCGTTCACGGCCGAGGTGTTGTCCTCTTTGAATGAAGATGTGGATCGTCCGGATATTGTTAACCGTAGTCTTTCAACTAACCGTCCCGGTAAGTGGTTTCTATTCAGGCGTGCCTTGTTTAACATGTTACAGCAAACTAACCCCGCGAATTTTCATTCTTCAGTTAGCAAAATATCATACGAGCTGCTTTTTTATGTTTGCTCATGTTACGGTGTTTGTTAGATTCATAGTTGTAGAGAGCTAAGTTACATTGATTACAGCCGATAACGTGCTTTATCTCAATTAAAGTGGTGAATCACATCATATATCAGTAAATATAAACATACATCCTTACTTTACTTTTTGAGCGTCTACCTCCTAGAGGATAAGCCTCGTCAACCACTGAATCTGGGGGCCTTCAACGTGAGGACTCTAATGCAGGTGGGTCAAAAACCTTGGCTGGTGCATACAATGGAGTCCTTAGGGATGGATATTTACTGCGTATCGAAGACTCGACTTCAGGAGCCACTTGAGTGCACCAAATTTGTCCTCTAGATACCGCCTTCGCAAATCAGGCGACGACAAAGTCCGTTCAGTAGGTCAGCGCGGAGTAGAAATTGTACTCAGTAATAGGGTCGAAGCCTCATTTATTGGGCCCCTTTCAACAGTTGTTTATGTGCAATGCGTCTCCAGGAGTCGGTCAGTAACCGGAAGGGAAGTAACACCAAAAGGTGTCTATTCATCACCTTGACATCATATTGACCATCACGATGAGACTGCACCTTGACGTAGTGTGATAACCTGTGCAACTCTCTGACCCAAAGAGCTAAACAGGATGGCTTTATCAAGCTAGATCTTGTCATGCCTGGAAGGTCAA